AAGAAGGAGACGGCGGCGGTGTGTGAGTGACCCCTCTCTCTCTCTCTCTCTCTCTCTCTCTCTCTCTCTCTGGTCCACAGCTGGTGTGGCCTTTTTTTAGTGTCTCTGCGGGGAACGGTCTGTGATGGAACTGGCAGTGAGAACCGATCTTGGCCAGAACGGCACATTCTGACTGGCACCTGTTCTTCTCAGTGTTTGAAGAAGCAGCGGGCGTGTGCGGCGTGTTCTGCCGACGCAGGTGTAAAGTGTGTGAGGGTGTGAACACAGTTTGTCTCCGAGTTAGGAATAAAACAGGCCTGACGTACAGCTGGGATGGAGACGCGTTTCTGGGCTTTTTTTTTTTTAAACCTTTTAAAAACCAGGGTTAAACTTGATTAAACTCTGACTCATCGTTGTTTGTTTCCTGTGGCAGGTGATCTTCCTCCATGGGTTAGGAGACACAGGGTAAGAGGTTTTCTAAGTAAAGCACAAATGTTTGAGCTGTGAGGGGTTTTTTTTTAAATCTTTTTTTCCTAATCTTTCACATCAGTTCAAGCACAGTCTCCGTTCTCTACTCTCTGTACTTGTTACAAGTATTAGTAATTTATCTGAAAACATTTATTTATTTTCTCTCTGTTCCCCCATCAGGCACGGGTGGGCGGATTGTCTGACAGGCATTCAGCTGCCCCACGTCAAGTTCATCTGCCCCCACGCGTAAGTCGCCGTCTCTTATTAGGGCCAGCGAGCCCTGACTTGACTTCCTGTTCTGTCCTGTGGTCAGTGAACGATCTGGAAATGATGAGAATCCTCTGGTTAGCAGTGAAGAAACGAATCAACATTTTCATTGTCCTCTTCCCTCTCCAGGCCCAAAATCCCCATCTCTCTCCACAAGAACATGGTCATGCCTGCTTGGTGAGTCGGCGTCTCCAGATCTTCTCTTCTTGTCCTCCCTCCACACTGGACGCCATTGTTTCTCCTGGAAAACGCACAAAAGGCTCCAATATTGTGGCCCACAATGCTGTGATTGTATAGAGTGGTGTTTCAGAACGCTTTGTCTCTGAATGTGTGTGTCTGTGTGTGTTTGCATGCGCGTGTGTGTGTGTGTGTGTGTGAACAGGTTTGACCTCAAGGGTCTCAGCCTCGACGCCCCAGAGGATGAACCTGGAATCAAGAAGGCGGCAGATAACAGTGAGTTGTAGCTAACGTTAGCTTGCCTGTGTTTGATGCATTTTCTGACCAATCACCGTCATCAACACCCACTTTTTTTGGTGTCGTCTTTCAGTCAAGGCTATCATCGAGCATGAGGCCAAAAACGGGATTCCACCACATCGTATCTTACTCGCCGGCTTCTCTCAGGTGAGATTTCACAACCATTTAGTTGGATTTGGTCTGCTGACTGTCTCTGTCCCAGGACGTGGGAATAAATGATAAACTCTGACATCGAAGGGTTTTTTCGATTTAAATGTTTGTTTCCTTGTTGTGGTTGTTCATTTTCATTTAGTCAAACAAAAAAAATGAGTTAGTTTCATCAAATCGTCAGAACACTGTCGTCAAATGTTCTATTTTATCTATAGGCCTCACTTTGTATCCTTCATGTCCCCACAGGGTGGCGCCCTGTCCTTGTACACCGCCTTGACCTGCCAGCAGCAGATAGCCGGCGTGGTGGCCCTCAGCTGCTGGCTCCCACTCCACAGCAGCTTCCCCTCGGTACTCGGACAGTCGCCGGCTTTTATTTCCTGCTCAGGTGTTTCCACACAACACGGTGTGTTCAACCTGCTGTGTCTGTGTCGCAGGCATCGAACGGCCACAAAAACATCCCCATCCTGCAGTGCCACGGCGAGACAGACATCATGATCCCCGTGCAGTTCGGAGCCCTGACGGCAGAGAAGCTCAAGTCCATAGTCAACCCTCAGATGGTCACCTTCAAAACCTACCCAGGGCTGTCTCACTGCTCCTGCCCTCAGGTGAGCTCACAGAGCTGCAGACTCCAGACTCCCAGTCTGAAAGTGTGAGCAGTGGAACAGACCCACTAAATGTGGCCTAGTTCTTTAAGTAGGTGATGGGAATAAATGTGTTGTGTCATGAATGAAGGGATAAAAATACCACGGACGTCATGTGACCAGCGTCAGGTCAACTTCATTTCTCTACTATATCTAAGCGATAACTGATGATGATGATAAATAAATGACAAATGGGAGCAGAAGGTGGGTGTGTGTGAGCATGCGACCTCTGACCTTTCACTACCTTTAACCAAAGAGTCACAATATTCACATATTTGAGCACGCGACCTCTGACCTTTCACTACCATTAACCAAAGAGTCACAATATTATTTCATATATTTTAACAGCACACGTTAACGGACTTCTTCTGTGCTCTCTCTCTGCAGGAGATGATAGCAGTGAAGGAATTCATCGAGAAGTACCTGCCCCGAATCTGACCTCTGACCTCTCACCTCCCTCCCCGTCCCTTCCGTGACCCTTAAACACTGACCTCTCACCCTCAGATCTGCCATTCCTCTCACAGGAAACAGCCATGAGCACCCATCCTCTCCACACACACACACACACAAACACACACATCCACTTCATTAACGATGGTTCGGTCCAGTCCATGAAACGACGTTCGCCTTTAGTTTCCCTCACCACAGGATTATGACGACATCATCTCGTAGTTTAATCCTTATCTTTAGCTTTGTTTTTGTATCGACTCCTTTTTTTTCCGGGCCACGTCTTCATCCCTTCGACACTCATTTAGAGAAGAGCCGCAGGTTTAACACCGTGACTGACGGGAAAAACATTCTCCTCCAGAGTCAGATCAGATGTTATTTTTTAAAACTTCTATGAGGATTATTGGTGTTTCTACAAAGTCTGACCCACGACAGAAGTGTCTGAGGACACAGAGCCTCAGCATAACTGCAGTAAGTGATGTGTTACCTACAGATTATACTGAGAAATCCATCCTCTTCAGCTGGCAGTGTCCGGTGATTCTGCTCATTCATGTACGTCATCTAATTAAGGCGTCTGTAATGTTTGTTTTTGCCTCCACGCAGGGGCATTTTGGGAAAACAATCTGAAATCCAGTCATTATGAGGAATATTAATTTGGTTTTTGACTTCTGTCTTGGATGCATCAAATTTGAACCCGTGAAACAAAATAAGTGTAACTGAAATTATTTTCTAAATTTTTTTTTGGTTGTAATCCATCCACTTCTTCAGAGGTTTGTGATCAAAAACTGAAAAAAACTTTTTTAAATGTTTTCCTATTAAAAACAGGAAAACATTTCCTGTTTTGTAGACAGAAGCGTCTGTGACTGTGAGGAGAATATTTCGGTGAAAAACGATGTTTTTCCAACAGCGTCAGTTCAGATCCCGCCGGGCTGCGAACCCTTCTCCCAGCACCACATCCATCTTCCAAACATCTCCACCTTCAGCAGCATTGACCCCACAAACACGTCTCGTTCCCGTCGTGTTGTTGTCGACCGAGTGGTTTGGGTTTTTAAACTCTGTAATTAAATAAACGCAGCGTCTCCTCCTGATTGTCTCCCTCGCTGCCACTGCAGGGTCAAACTAACACAAATTATTTATTGACATTTTTTTGCAGATACGCCTCTAACCAGCTTCCCTCTTACTGTAAAACACTAACGTATAACACGGAGGTCAGCGTTGGGGTCAAGTCCCGTCACTAATACATGCATAAATAAAGTGACCACACGCTGAGGGCTTTGGCAACGACCTGTTCCAGTGTAACTGAACAGACACGGCGATGATTGGACTGGAACGTTGGAGTGAGTGTGTGAGTGTGCGCTTCAGCGTAGATATATCAGGTGTTCCGGCGTTTTCCTTTGTGAATGTCATCTTTACTTACCCTGTGACTTCCTGTTCTGCACTGTTCTTATTAAACCAGATTTTTAAAATTGGGAAAAGAGCTGAAGTATTCCGTTCGACTTGATAACAATTGAGTGAATGTCTTCTTTCCTCCAGACTTTGTTTATAATTTACACCGTGCTCCAGGAGTTTTTTTTGTAATTTTTTTAATCTATCTCTCTCTTTTTTCTTTATTCCAAAAATGTCTCTTTGTGTGACAACGTTGCACTGTCTGGTTTCTTCCAGGATTTTATGTGGTTAATGATGAATCTGTGTTTGACTTTGTTGTTAGTTGTTTATTTGTGTGTTTTATCACTTTTCTCATCTCATCCTTTGTTGTGTCTGTTTATCATGATTAAGAAAACAGGTCGAGGTGAGGCAGGTGGCCTCCTGTTGTTTTGTTTCCTAAACACCTGTGTGCAAAATAAATTGATGACACGAAAGAAAAGTTCATTTGAGTTGAACATCTTCACTTGTTAGAATTTCATTATTTTTATTTGTTTTAACCTACTCAAGGAACCGAAGAATATTGGAGATCATTTCCACAGTAACTCTACCCTAATAGAGGCAGAATATTTTATTGAGTGTGAGAGAAATTGCTAGTGTCACAGCTGCTTCTAGAATGTAAAAAACAATGACAAATAAAGACAAAATATTCCACTGGTAAAAGTCAAATGTAACTTAAATAATATAACCATTAAATTAGAAAATTGTACAAAAAATATTTTTGTCTCTAATCTCTTGACGGAGTAAAACGGCCCATCAAACTTAAGACGAAATATTTGTTAAAAGATTCGTGTCTTCAGTCTTGGTTACAGTTTTTCTGCCATTGTTCTCTCAGCCTTTGATGTCCACTGACTGTCTTGTTTCTTTGATTGTGTTCGATCGCACTTAATGTGTTAAAGGAACTGGTTCAAAAATTCAACAATTTTACAGTACGTTGTTAGTAATGAAAAACAACAAAAGTGTAATGTGAAACACACGTCAAATTTCATCTTTTTTATTCCGATGTGTCCTGGGATTTAGTGCTTTTTACATTGGCCTCTGTGTAGTAAAATAAAATTTATATAAGGTTGACCGCCCACGTAACCAAACGCAAACAAGTTTGATTGGCTCAAGCGCGGTGTTGGCCCCTCCCATCAGTAGGAAAACCAATCAGTTTCGTCCGACGGCACCGACTGTGCAGAAGAAAGAATCTCTTCTTTTTTTTTTAAACAAACGCAGATGTTAGTCGCCATTTTGAGAGGTTCTATCTCCGCAGACCGGCAGAAAAGGCAGTGACGAAGCAAGTCGTTTTTCTCCGTTTGAGTACCTTTTTAGGTGTTATAATAATCAATGTCTCGCTTTAACAACCGCGGCGGACTTGGAATGAATCATTTCCAGCGAAGAGGTGGTTTGGCGGGCGGCCCGATGCGAGGAGGAATCATGGGGAACCACAATTTCCGGAACCATCCTTTTCAAAATACGAATAGGAGAGGGGGACATAACAACATGAACAGGCCCAACAACCAAGGACCACATGTGAGTCCCCAAAAGATGCAACAAAACCAGCCCATTATCCCTCCACCGAGTCCCGGTCCGGCTCTCACCATGAAAGGCCCCATGCAGCAGCAACAGCAACAACCTCCACCACAGCAGCAGCAGCCACAACAGAAACCCGCTCAGACACAGCAGCAACAGCAGACGCCGACAACTCCATCACCCCAGCCTAAGACCCAGACCCAGTCCCCAGCAGCGAAACCAAACATCACCTCACCGCAACCTAACCAAGGCAACCAGAATCCGAACCAGCAGCTAAAGTCCCCGGTAGGAAATGCTAACGGCAAACCACAGCAGCCTCCGCAGCCGAGCCCTAAACCCGGACCACAGCTGAACCAGAAGCCTGGCCCTCAGCAGGCTCAAGCGACGGGACCCCAACAAGGTAAGAGGACCGGACCTCCGCAGGGCCCGAGGATTAGTCCTCAGCAAGGCCCGAGAGCCAGTCCTCAGCAAGGCCTGAGAACCGGTCCTCAGCAAGGCCCAAGAACCGGTCCACAACAAAGCCCGAGAACAGGTCCACAACAAGGCCAGAGGCCCAGACAAGACCCACCGAAAAACATCCAGATGAAACATGAAAATGTACCGGTCGCGACGGGATCAGACGAGAGCCAGTCAGAGGTCAGTGGTTCTCAAAGCTCATGTTTTCTCTCTGGTATAAAGTGCGTTGTCGTCAAACACAAAGTAGTTGGTGCTAATGTGGATTCAGCTCCACATGGTTTCATTCGTTTTATTACACTGGCACCCGAGATGGTGGGTGAGATTTTAACAAACAAACTATCCGTGTGCTATCAGTTTTAGCTCTGACGGTACGAACTGTGCTTTTTTTGTGGCTTTGTCGTGTTTCCATGACGGCCATTTTGTTGAAGGACCGGATCGTCAGCAACCGTTTAAATCAGCAATATATTAAAGAAGGCCCATATTAAGTTATTTCTTTCACGTTTGAATATATGTGTGTTTGTGTATATGTAAAACAATATTTCACTCGGTTTATGGAGGGTTCCACGATTCAGCGGATGTAGGTCAAGTACCGTGTGTGTGGGGGATGGGCAGTTCCATATCTGGTTTTGTAATTCATCGGCTGTAAACGTTAATTTTTTCTCGAATTATTTCATGTAACGAATTATAAATATTGTTTTCTCACTTATAGGATATTTCTTATGGAACTATGAGCTATTTTCTCAAAATTTATAGAAAATGTGTATCGAAAAAGTATATTAATTCAAATTCCTAGCTTCAGTCCCGCGATACTTCTCGGTATTTATCTCGGTAAAATAATGACAATGAATAACTGAAAATATTTTTGTTTTTATGAACAGAAAAAAATGTACAATATTTTAGCATTGATGTTGGTGTCTTTCTGAATGTTGCTTTTTGTGTGGTATATTAATTAGTCTAAAATGTAACTGAGAGTTATATCGTTAACTATTATCTTTGTACAGTGACCAATAATAGACAATGTTTATTTCAATTATGACAGAATTGACATGATAAGTATGGAATTATTTGTTTTCATTTTAGGGAGGCTTTAAGGCAACTCTGTCCATGCTGCTGAAACCCGGTGAGAAACAATACACACAACGCTGCCGTCTGTTCATCGGTAATCTGCCAAGTGACATCACAGAAGAGCAGTTCAAGAATCTTTTTGTCAAGTATGGGGAGCCTAGTGAGGTCTTCATCAACAAAAGCAAAGGATTTGGTTTCATCCGACTGGTAAGACGATCCATTTCCGAAGCCACGTGTTCTTGGGATTTTTTTTCCACATCAGGATTATAATTTTGTTTCTTCTCCTTACAGGAATCCAGAGCACTTGCAGAGATTGCTAAGGCAGAGTTGGATGACATACCAATGAAGGGCAGAACCCTGCGTGTCCGATTCGCTACACACTCTGCCGCCCTGTCCATAAAGAACCTTTCACCCTATGTTTCAAATGAGCTCTTAGAAGAAGCTTTCTGTCAATTTGGCATGGTAGAGCGGGCCATTGTGATTGTGGATGATCGTGGAAGGTCTTCAGGCAAGGGCATTGTGGAGTTTGCTTCCAAGGCTGCAGCCAGGAAGGCTCTGGATAGATGCAGTGAAGGCGTTTTCCTTCTCACTTCGTAAGTAAAGATTTAGCTTTTGAAAAACCATAGGGTCTTCAATCCGGGGTACATTTGTTAATATCTTGTTTCAACTGTCAATAGATCCCCACGTCCCGTTGTTGTTGAGCCTCTGGAGCAGTACGATGATGAGGATGGTCTTCCAGAGAAACTGGCACAAAAGAACCCCAGATATCAAATGTAAGCATTTGACTTTATTATATTTTCTATGAATGTGAGCCTCACAGGGATAGGTTGGACTTTTTGTTCTTAAATGAAGTAGCAACACTCCCCATCTTTGCAAATGTTTGTCAAAATCATTGTTATATCAGCAGCAGATGGTCTGATCCGGGGGATGGGGTAGTCAGGGATTGCAGCTGTCAAATCAATAGTTGGTGAAGCGGCAGATGTTGTCGGTTTAGTAAGGACTGGGGGTTGAACCGAGCTGTGTGCCCCTGTTGACAATTTCAGAAGTGACGATCATATATTTTTGAAATACAGGTAATTAAGAGCATTGTCAGAGCATAATAAATATATAATACACACAGCTTAATATAGCATTTACTGAAGCCATGTATTAGGATGTCATGTTATTCCATTTGTGTCTACAGAGAGCGTGAGCACCCTCCTCGCTTCGCCCGCCCTGGCACCTTTGAATATGAATATTCCAAACGCTGGAAGTCGCTGGATGAGATGGAGAAGCAACAGAGGGACCAGGTGGAGAAAAACATGAGGGAAGCTCGCGAGAAGCTTGAAAGTGAAATGGAAGATGCCTACCATGAGCACCAGGCCAATATGCTCCGCCAAGGTGCGTCTTTTAAACTATTGTTGGATCCACAAGGCTTTGTGAATGAGGATGAAGGTTTTTTGGATCATATCACAAAGGGTTGACCTTTTAGTTATTGCTTTGTTTTGTTTGTACTTGCAGATCTGCTGAGGCGACAGGAAGAACTGCGCCGTATGGAAGAGATGCACAGCCAGGAGATGCAAAAGAGAAAGGAGATGCAAATTAGGTATTTGTGTTAAAAAGATTACCGGACCAAATAAGTTGCATAACATTTAACTTTAACATGTAAGATTTCCTAAAAAAAGTCAGAACTACTCATTTGCCTAAATATTGCTAATTATTCCTGTGTTGGAAACAGACAAGAGGAAGAGCGACGCAGGCGTGAGGAGGAAATGATTCGTAAGCGAGAGATAGAAGAACAGATGCGTCGCCAGCGGGAGGAGGGCTACAGAATGGGCAACTTCATGGATGTGAGTAGAATTTACTGGGCAATAAAAGTTTGCATTGTACTTTTTTACAAAAACAAACCATATCATTTTTCTTGTATTGTGTTGACTGTCTTTTGTGTTGCAGAGGGAACGGGATCTGAGAATGAACCCCGCTGGTATGGGCATGGGTGGTAAGTAATGTACCTTTATTTTTTAAGCTCAGCACAGAATGAATATAGTTAATTAAATAAGTGATAATTAGAACTAAGATTAAAAGAATATTTTAACAAATGTTTGTGCATGTGTTATTCTAACATTGTTATCAAATCACAGTTAATTTAACCATCACTAGGTGATATTGCTAGGTTTCTGACAACTCAGTGTCAGTTACTAAGTGTTAACTTGTGCGGTTCCTGATAGATATTCCTTTTGGTGCAGCCAATCCAAAGTTTGCAATGGGTGGAATGGTCTTTGAAAACCAGCAGGGAATGGGGGCCGCCGCCCCGGGCATGATGGGCAACGAAATGGTAATGTATCCCATTTTTGGGGATTTCCTTAGTTTTTAATTTAGTTTTTGCTTGACTTGCCTTGTTGTGGAAAGATGGATGTTGCTGATAAAAGCCCAATGGCCTGAGAAGAGTTGTGAGATTGACAGGTCTGTGTCACAGCTGCTGTTGAGCAGCGTTGGTTGGCTGTCGAGTATTTGGTTTGATAGGGTCTCCACCGATGGCGAACCTGGCCCCTTTCAATTGCTGCTGCACTGTGTTTGATTATCTTTAGTTATGAAACTGTCACCCTGCACTGAATCAGAATGAACTGCTCTTGGCTGTGCTCTCTGACAGCTGGAGTGAGTCTTTAATGGCTCTTCTCACTTTTATCACACTGTTGTGGACTGACATTGCAAGCCCTGTCTCACATGAGCTGGACAGGCATTTTTTTTATCAGGATGGCATCTACCAATGACATTTTTTCATCACAGCTGACAGCGTACTTATTGACTTTGACACCATTTTCCCCAGCATGATTTATCAAGAAATGGAGCGGTTGAACCGAGTCTTTCTGTTGGTGGGTCGCAGTCCTGTATTCAACTCTGTAACTTGTTCTCCCCGCAGCACATTGGTAGTTTACCTTTAGGAACAGGAGCCTTAACTTTCTGTCAATCTTTTTTCATACCAAGCAGTCACAGTGACCTTAGTGCAGGGTGATGGTCGTTGATGTCACTTTATAGATATCACATAGACGGTGAACAGATTGATTGACTGGTGGCCAGGATAGCCTTGTGACTTTGTGCCATTATGGTACATCCGTCTTTGGGAAGAACAGGAGCTGTAGTGCTGTACTGATACACCAATGCATGCCAGGTCATTTACTATTTCTAATAACTATTGTTTGTCTGGAAAAAAAAATCTATTTTTCAAAATCTTGATTCAAGTTAACAAATCTGTGGGTTTTGTTTTAAAGTAACCAAAATATATATAGTTTTTAATTGATCGTAAAGCATGTTGTCTCATCTTCAGTCTCACAGTGTTGCTCTATTAATGCATCATATACAAGCATTAGTGTATTTAATTGTATGTTTTATATTTTCCCATGTGTGTAAATGGAGTTGATGAACTGATTCAATCACAGTTTCCCGGCGAGGCTAGAAGAAGTAAGAAAAGCAAACAGGAAGCCAAACGTTGGCGCTGTTTGCAGTAACATTAGAACATTATTGACACTGCTTTAAACATGGTTCTCAACTAGAGTGTTTCACAGCAAAACATTAGCATCTGGACCTTTGCTTTTACCGATGGTGTGACCTGTTGGTACGACTTGTGTGAGAAGTTGACATCTGTCATCCACTGTTGCATTGATATTGTGTTGCGCTAGTGCTCCACTTCCCTTCTTCCCTTCTTGTAGTACATCTTTAGTATTGCTTTGATATATGTATACATTGTTTAATTTTAATCCAATATTTTTTTTTTATTTAGTCTTTTCAGTTTTTGGTTGTACAGCATCATAATCATTATCTGAATAGACCACTCTGATATACTACAGAACAATAGTTTCTAAGTCACAAAAAAGAACTAAAAAAAAACGTCTGACGGCCCAGCAGAAGGGAAGTTGTAGCTTCATCTTCCTTCAGAGATGGTGGAATTGTTTAGAAATGACACCAAGATACAATTGTATTTAGTGATGCTGAATAAGATGCTGAAGTTGTTAACCTGTTCCATTAACATATCTAAACCATGTACTAAAAGATATGAGGAGTTTTTGGGATGCACAGAATAACTTGAAAAGTCGTCTTCTGGTCTGTTGAATAATGAGGCTTCACATTGAGGGTTTTGTGGGGGGGGGCAGTTGAAAGTTATTTATTTTCAATTGTACGTTCTTCAAACTAGCATATAGTGTCAGAAATTTCCAGAAGGTCATTATGGACAAGTTCTGCTTTTGTGGTTTCCACCAAACTGGAAGCTCAGTTAAACATGCTAATGTAATGTAACACTCTCCGTCGAGTTGTAACAGGTCGTATGATATCAAACTAGGTAAGAGTACGACAATAATTTAGCATGACGTCAAGTATGCTGAGTACTCTTAGAGTACATGATCATAAAGAAGATAATATGGTGTAATATTCATCCACATGCTGCAAAATGACATTGAAAAAAACAAAAAACAGCAGTAAAAATCTGCAACCCTGTGAGGCGTGCCCTGAAGCCGGCACCTCATTCTCTGTTAATGTTGATTTAGTCAAGTTCTTACATTTACACTGGTTCTTTTATCCAAGTCTTCATTAGCTCTTCTACTATGCAGTCTGATTCCTACTTGGAGTTTAGACAACTTCTCTGAACAAAACAAAGTACTCTCCTTAACTTAATGATTTTATCACATCGTAGCTCTGTGACCCGTATGTTATACGACCTTGACGTCGTGTATATACAGTTTGATGGACGTTGTACCGTGAGAGATTTAACAGTGGTGATAGAACCTTCACAATACCTGAATAACTAAGATTTTGAATTCAACTACTTTAACCTCTCTGGGCATGTGTCCTTGGCCATATTGTCAAATGATTGAAATACTTGGAGCAAAAAACTTCACCTGACCATTGGTGAAGCCAGCATGCTAGTGTTGGCATGCACTGGAGAGTCCGTGCTAGGTAGGCACTAACTAACGAAAGCATTACCCTCTCTTCCTTTTCCGTATGTAACCTGTGGCACCTGTGGACCCTCATATTGGAACGATCGCTCTCTTCGGATGCGTCTCCTGCTGGTTGTGTTTTATCCTCTCACAATATAAACCTAAACACGCTGTTGCCTTTTCACACACCCTTCCATGGAAATGAACTGTAACTGCTCGCTATACCAATCCCGTACCACATATACCCTCATCGTCAAATTGAAACCTGCAGCGCAATGAGCGATTTGCCCAAGGTGGAGCCAGGGGAATGGGTTCTGGTAATGCTGGGTTTGGCAGGGTCCGTGAGGAGTTTGATGGTCCTACTAAGAAACCCCGTTTTTAAACAGCGCTCCTTGAGGCTTTCAAGTGGCAACATTTGTACAAATGCTTCAAAACAAACCTATCAAGTTGCTTCTGGTATTTAAGTTTGATTTGTTGCTACATTTTAGCTTGACTATTAACTAATTTTATGGCAAGGTCAATTTTTTTTTTTTTTTTTTTTTTTTTGTATTGTCTGTAGCCGGGACCGGAAGCTCATCCTCTTGTGATGCATTAGTTCTTTCTTACACATGTACACGTTATTTTTCTAGGTGTATTTTGCTCTGTCTTCGTGACATGTTAATTGTAACATTTTTCATAACATTCAGTGGCTGTATACTGTGCCATACATTTGGAATCAAAGCATGTACCATAATAAAGACAAAATTGGTTCTATCCAGATAAATCTCTCAATAATTATTATTTAAAAAAACAAAAACAATGGATTGCAAGTGCAAACTCTTTGCCTAATTTCATTGCCTAATTTTAATATGGACTTACCTGCCGTATTGGATCTTAAAGGGTCTATGTGTTATCTCTGTTTCAGTTCTTCTTACTCGATACCGAACGTATCTTTTTCAATTAAAACAATTAGGATGTTATCAAATTAATAATCAGTACCAGAGTCCTGTTATTTTGACTGTTACCTTGTTCAAAGAGCAGACATAACTCATTTTTTTTGTAAAGAAGTTGAGGACTATGTTGGGCAGTTTGGCCTGTTCGTCAGAAGAGTTGGTGATGATTAAATCCTGGATCCAAATGGATGCATTAACTCTTTGTCCACAGTTTGTTTCCTTTGTTTTGTAACAATTCAGAAAGCAGAAATAATACACATAGAACCTTTAAGAACTACAGCTGATTAGTGTGTAGTTGGTGGTACATTAGTATTAAGAAGTACTTCTCTCATGCTGTCCAACTTGGGGCATTTGTTTTGTGTTTGTAACCCGGGGCGTTTTTTAACTCTGTACTGATGTAGTCAGAGAGATTGAAGGTGTTTTATGACCAACACACTATGCTGTAAAACTGGTCACTACCTTGTCACCAGCAGGGGCTGTGAGTCTATGTTCATTAAACTATATTTAAGGGATGCACTGAAATTATAATTCGTGGCCGAAACCGTAAATCAGGAAATCGAGGCACTGCAATTACATAGATTAAAAATAAATAATATAATAATATTACTATATTATAACAACATAATTTGAGACAGTCTTTCAGGATCTCACAGAACATTTTTGCTGCACTCTGTTCTTTTGTGTTTTGCGCTTCTCCGTCTCCAAGCGGGTCCTTTGCGGCCTGGAACATTTCTCGTGTGCACTGCTTTATTCCCGCATCCATGTAATGATCCTTTTAACGCGGATCAAGTACAGTCGTGATAGGTACAGGGGTTCCGAACAGATCTCTGTGAAACGTGTGCTGACAGACTCTGAGTGTACTTAAGTTCAGCATTACACGTTTTTTAAATCGATACCCCTGGGTCTTTCTCAGATATTTTGAAATTTGTCCACACAGCAGACATGTTGGCGGTTTCAGACAGGTCCGCGATGGTCGCGATCTTTGCCCAGTCATCGTAACTTTCTGTTTCAACCCGTGTTGTTTCGGTGATAAAAGTATTTTTTGGTGGCCAAAAAATTCGGTGCATCCCTACTAATGTTATTTAATAATCCTAAAATACACTGAACTACGTCCCTGCCCCAAACGATTTCTTCTAAGCTTTCCTATTGTTTTTTTAGAAGGGGGGGGGGGGGTTTATATAAAAATTGTGACGGCCCATTAGCTGTAGCCAGCACCTAATGGCTAAAGTAGGATTTGCAAATGTCTCTTTTCCTGTAATTTCTGATCTGTTTGTAAAAAATTCCATGGACATCTTATACCTGAACCAGTCGCTCCATGGGTAAAATGGTGGGCGACGTTTCTGCCTCCTGGGCAGAACAGGTGTTTTGTCACTTTTCTTTATTTAACCTGAAAAAAAATAAAACGTGAATCTGTCTTGTGTTTGAAGTGGTTTACTAATCACTTGACTTCAGACTGAAGCGATAACCGTTCTTTGTGGTGGCAACTAAAACATTTCTTTCTTTCTTAATTTATTTTTTGGCCTTTTTGAGCAAAATCACTACATTTGTCCAGCAGTGAACCCTGTTTGACGCAGTTAAGTTCATACCAGCTCATTAGTATAACATGGTGAAAATACTACACACCTGCCTGCCCTTACAGGTGTTTTTTTTTATCTCAACAAAACAATTTTATACTTTGTTCTTGATCTCGATGCAGTAACATATAACACTTTTAAAATCACATTTGTTCAGAACCTATAAATCAGTACACTGCCTTATGTCTTTATTCAGATTTTTTTTAAACCTAGTTCAGGCAGAGTTTGTTTAAACCACAGCTAAAAGAATGGGAACGGTTTACCCTGTTGTTTTGTTCTTGGTTTTTCATTTATTTTATTTTTTGTGTCTGTTTTCTGAGTATACGGTGTCTGGGGAAAAAAAAAATACCCAGGCTGATAACAGAACCCCAATGTCAATATCTGCCAAGATTGACATTGACATCAGCAACCTCTTGACCCAAAGTTGCAGTTGTCGGATGCTTGAAAAGGCAACATGGATTATATACTGGTTTGTTGCATTTAAAGCAGAGGCTTGAACCTCTAGAAGGCTTCAGAAATGGCTGCAAATCAGGAGCTGACGTTCTGTGGTTGATTCGGTAAGGATCTCATTGGATATCTCCTTTAAGTGTGCTTCTGAAATGTTCCGTGTGTTTGTGTTGTGTACCCTCTTTCTCTAACAGGTTTGTCCAACTTTTCCAGATTGTGTGTTGTGGAGAAATTTGAGGCCAGCCTGGCACTGAGCGACATGCATTAAAGGAGCATTTTGGCTTTGGTATTAGTGTTGTACAAATGCACAGTGACTCTAAGATCTGACAGTAAAGTACTCAAGTATCAATTACATTTATATTTATATATGTACAGTATATATACTGAGTCCCCAAAGAAAGTTCCTGTTTCTTCAGGAACACATGTAAGTCACATATAGAAATTCAGATATATTTTGTACACACCATCATCATTGAAATCTCCAAAGACCATTTTCTGACCACTGACTCTTGATCTTAGTTTTGCCAAATATCAGTTTTAACATCTTCTGTTAATATATTTGTTATCTAATACGGCTGTGTGTTGGCAAGAATCTGCCGATATGAGATGTCTCGTGATACGGCGCAACACTACGAAACATTGCGATATACTGCAGTACTATAGGCAGGATGATGTATTGTTTGATTTTGAAGTCCTGGTGACTAAATATTTAACAGAATTAGTTTTTTTGTTTTAACAAAAAAAAACTGTTTTCTTAAATTATATACTCATTGCACCCTTTGAAATAAGGGGAGAATTACAGAGTAGAAAATTACTTTAAGTTGTAAATTTACTTAAGTAAGGCCATGTTGTGTTGGCAAACCAGGCACAAACATATTCCACTAAGGATTCTTCCCGTAGAGTTCTTGAGACTATTTTCATTCTTTTACAAATGGAGCTTGAGATGAGCTTTGATCTCCTAAGAAATGTCCAAAGACAGATTTGCCTTCTAGAACGTATTGTGCAATGGTCATGTTAAAAAAAGTATTTAAAAAAAAATGTATTACATTACAAAAGTTGACCAAAATAAGGCTCCACACACTTCAAACGGTTCTTTATTTTGTCATTTTTAATGTAGAGCGGAGTTGATCTCCCTTCTTGGAGGACGACCGTTTCCTTGCACATACTTTTTAATTTGTAATGTTATGTTTGTCTGTTGGTTTTCTGTACCATTTGTTTTTCCTTAACAGGTTTGACCGTCTTTAAAGGTGTTGGACTAAGAAAGGATCTTTCCGACTCAGTGGTAATCACAGACGTTGAACCTTTACCCGTAGACAGAATAGTTCTGTGATTCCAATCTCTAACCTCTGATACAGGAGCGGCTGTTCTTTCAGTTGGATCTGCTGTTGATCCTAGCAGACAGTTTTTTTTTTAGGTTGGACTTGGAAGGTTAGCAATTGTGATTGCACAGGTAACGATGAACCAGCGTTCAGAGCACTTCCTTTAAGCCATTACGCTCCATTGTAACCACGACCGTTGAGAGAAAAAGAAAAACCAACTTTGTTCATCCATCTTCCTTTAATTTGTGGACGTCTCCAGCACCCTGGTCGCTGCAGACCATCGACAGTCCCAGTTGACCTCAGTAATACTTCTTTATTCCTTCTGTGGTGAATTCACGAGTGATTCTGAACGTGTTGTACTGACTCGTCTGGAATTTGTTTGGTCATGAGTTAAGTTAGCATGACTGAACCGTCAGATATGCCGATGATATTCACAACAACACGTCATGTAAAAAGGCAGAAATGTAAACATTGAAGTTACTTGACTAGCGGTTGAGCTAATTGATGTTTTAAATCCTGTCCAAGAGAGACCTCTTAGACGTCAAGTTGTGTCAACGCTAGTCTTCTTATCTGCACTTTGCAGCGATTGAGGACACATTTGTCCTCAAGTTGAATATGAAGCAACTACAGGGAAAGGAGGGCACCCCCACGCCCCCCCATGACTCCTTGAACTGTATTTCAAGATGGACCTGTACTGTTGAAGGAACATAGTTCACCCATGTGGCACCAACCTTTAGAATAAATACATCACACGACAATATGATGGTACAAGACACTCCATTTGTCGGTACATTTCCAGTGTTTTGACGTAACAGTGTAAACAGTCTTTACCTCTAGTACCAACATGGCCGTACGTCTTAAATCCACCATCCTTTGAACCTTCTCAGTCTTCTTGTTTAACATATTAGCCATTAGCCATGTCTCTACTATAGATCCATTTTTAAGTCGATTTGTTCTGTACCAGTGATGACAAAATGTTCTTTTTTTTTTTTAAAGCTATCATAAGTAAACGTGTAAGAAAATATGCCACCATTATTTTCTTTAAAATCTGTTTAACTCTTTATTTTAGGTGTCCCCGTGAAAGTTGTCCAATCAGAGATCACGTTAGCCCAGCGTCACTTTCCCGAGGGTTAAAACCCCCTTCTTCCATGTAAATGAGCAAACGTAGAAGCATTGGACTTAGAGTTCGACCTGCCCTCTAAAGATTATAGAGGTTAAACTCAAGAACGTCCAATAATACAGATCACACATTGGATTTACCTTCCGACATATATGGAGGTATGATATAGAAATACAGACAGACCTCAGACCCCCCCCACCCCACCCCCGCCGTCTCCATTGGAAAATAAACAGTTATTTGAACATTGGTTTCCATTGATTGTCTCAATACAAATTGCATTAATTCTTATTCTTATTAAAGGCATTGTCCTTTGAAAGGCAACTGACAACAGAAATGATTGATTTTTCCTGGGCGATACTTTACAATGTGTCACCTTTTAGTCAGACGTTTTCTGTCTTTCAGGGTTTGGTGTAAGAACTGAACTCCTACCTGTTAAACTGACTCAGTAACAATTCAACACGAGACTCTTCACTTCTGTACGACAGGAGTTCACATAGAAAACTCCCTTTCAAATTCCCTTTGAAGAGCAATGAAAACCTCTTGCTAAGTTAGGACACCGCACACACCTTCTGTTTGATGAAAGGATGATTTGTGTGTGTGTGTGTCTGTGTGTGTGTGTGTGTGTCTCTTTGTCTGTGGGTAAATGTGCGACACGTTAGCTGCTGTCAGCCAGCTTGTCAGAGACAGGCTGCCCCTGTCCACAGTAAAGGCTCTTCTCTGCAGTTGGGTTACAATGACGATGAGTAGAAGTCAGTGGACATTAAAGCCTGGACATGTTTGTACTGCACCAGAGGTATGCATACACAGATCCGCTGAAGCTCGCCAGGTAAGTGTCCCATCCATGTCTATGATGCATAGTGTTCCCATGACCTAATAACTCTACCGTTTACAGGGCTTCTGGCACCACACTTCCAATGAATGACATCACAGTGCAGATCTCTTGTTCCTCAGACGTGGTGTGCGACTGTGCCGGAGAAATATATATATATATATATTTGTGCAGTGTGTGTATGTGTGGCTGTAGTGCTTAAAACGTGTATCGTTGTATGTGTGGAAACAAAACTCGACAGCTGAGTCACTGGTTTTAACGCTTTGTTTTTTTTTTAAACTGTTGTCGCATACTCAAAATCCTTGACTTTTTCTTTCTTGGAAATACAACCTGAAAAACCAGCCTTAGGCCAGAGACAAACCAGAGTTTGTCCACTGGACCAGGTCCAATGTCTGACGCAGTTCTTCCAGCTCTGGTTCTAGACAGTTCCTTCACCCAACCTGAAGTTGGTTTAGTGTTGATACTGTCGCTCACAAACGCTGACCTAAAGTCCTGTTAGTCCTCGCTGCACTTGTCATAATTACTGTTTTGTGATGCAGACCTCGCCCAGGTGGGAATCGTGGGTAATATCTGGCATCAAATCTTGGACAGTTTAACTCAGACGAGCTGCCAGAAGATCGACAGGTAACGTCTTAAGTCGATCCCACAACCATCTGTTGTAAGACAAGTGTACGACCCACTGGTCCACTGGTCCACCATCATTCCAAGAAACAGTTAAAGAATAGTCGAGATCGTACTTCCAGAGTTTGACTTTCAACCTTTAACTCTCACGACACCTCTCTTGGTGTGTGCCAGAGATCAATGCCTCTGTGCCTGCCCTCAGGACCAGCACCGGTCATATAGTTTCTCCTCTAAACCCATACAAGGCTTTAGCGTCTGCAGTCGACCCGTGAAGTCGTCACCACTTGGCTCCTGTAGTTCGTTTACAGAAATCCCTGACACTCCTGTGTTTTTGTCCCACTGCGCTGGACAGATGGACGGACGGTGAAAATGACCGGGAGTTTTCTGGGTGCGTTGGTCTTACAGCTCGTGTCAAACTGGTTTATTCTGGTCTTGTTTGTAGAAACATCTGTGACTGAATGAGTGGGTTTAAAATTTCTGGATGAAAATGTGAAAAAAAAGTCCAATTCATTTTTCCACTTTTTGCAAGAACATTTGACTAAAAAGTGTTTCCTGTCTCTGAGGTCGGTACTGAGAGTAAGACGGGCCTTTCAGTTAGCTCATCTCTGATTGGCCAACACACCCGGTGGTCAGTCCGATGTCCTGCGATGGTTGGCCTTTATGTTCAGCTCCGTCACGTCTCCTGGAGAAGATTTTCTGTTCAGCTCCGTCACGTCTCCTGGAGATAGATATATTAGATATATTGTAGATAGATATATTGTAAATATCATCTAGCACCAGTTGAAACTAATTCTGGTGCCTTTTTTGGCAACGTGTTGCTAAGGGGGCGGGGCTACTTTTCCACCAACACGACTACACACTGGTGTTTTATCACACTCAACACTGTCATTTGTGGAGTTTCAGTCCATCGGCGTTATGATCAGACAAGAGTGAAGCGATGAACAGTTACAAATGTTCACGTTTGTCAAACCTTTACTGAGGTTTGGCTGAAGTTGTCGAGGTACTGACCAGTTAGCTCATACCACTGCTGACACCAGTTTGACCTGTAGGGGGCACACCTTGCTCCCACCTTGATTAAGAAATGGGAGCAGAAACAAACAGAGTGAAAGATAACAGACTTCAGAAAAGGAAGTGCTCTTTTATTACACATTATACAGCTTCTCATCCATGCAACAAATATTTTCAGCCCTCGTTTCCACATTTTGGAAATTCCGATAACACTACTTTTTTACACAAATATCATAAAATATCAATGTGGGATGTAATTGTTCTTATATCCAAGTCAGGAAACCAACGACAGTTGATAGATTTTTTTGTTGTTGTTGTTGTTCTTTTGCTGGTCTGTATATTGTACATGGTAATTTTCATTGGCTTTCATCCCCCCCCCCCCCCAATCACACCAGTGTGAGCTCTGCAGTCATTTCCCTGTGATTCCTGGTCACACCTGGTGCTGACGTAGCTGCGGAGACCTGCTGTGGTAGCTCCACCCAGCTCTGCTGAGAAAAAAATCCAAACTCTCTCTGCACTGTGATCCATTTGTCACCAAGTCCTGTTCGTCAACACCTTTTTCCACATCCTGTTTTCTGAGTGTGGTGCCAGAATGTCCCTTTCGGTCCCTGTGGACCTCGTCTAAAATGGTTCCCACCAATAATCCCGACCGACCGTTCTCCACGCTTTTCTTCTCTGTGTCTGAGTTTTTTTGCTGAATCTCCCCTGAAAGTCCAGCTTCACGTGGCTTCGTTAGGGAAATCTCTGGATCTCAACAGATCTGGCAACTTTGTCCGTTCCTGAATTTTTATTTCTTTTTTTTTTTACTTTTATTGAAGTTTCAGAACACAGTGTGTTCAAACGACTTTGTATAACTTCACACATCATCACACCACATGTCTGTACCTCAACTCACACTGACGAAACACGATGAGCTACGTTTGTGTAATGCATGTGTACGATATAACATTATAACCCAATTTTAAAAATTTTTTTTTTAAATGAAAAATAGTCTCCACACACATCAACACACGTGAAAGTCGTCCTCAGCATAAAAGATGTTAATGTTAGCTAACAGCAACCTTCAGGACCGTCCACTGCCAGACTCTCACTGTTTGTGTTCTCATCACAGGAACCTGGACTAATGGAGGGAGGAGGATGATGATGATGATGATGATGAAGATGATGCTCTATAAAAACAACGGTAAGATCCAGAGGAATTTGTCACCTTGGAGGTCCAGGTTTTTGACAGTGGTTAAAGTTTTTTTTTTGTTTACATCTGTAACACTAGCGGTACACCAACCGTAGTTTGAGAACCACTATTGTCAACAGTGTACAAATGTGCCATGCGATGTTGGAGGATCTGGTTAAGGGTTCTGTTGTTTCACACCAGTTCTGTTCCCGTCTTTTCTCTTCTGTAGGTGAACAGAACGATGTGTGATTCAAACGGCAGAGTTGCTGAAGAAGACTCTGATCTTCGTCCGTGTCGGGTTGACTTGAAACGTGAGTTACAACGCTTTGGTGAATTCTAAAGAAAAACATGATTGTGATGATGGAAGTATGACGATTTTTATATATATTTTTTTTCTTTAATTGTTTTGCAGAGCTGCACAAGTTGCTGAAAGTTAGATGCAGTGCCTGAAGGAGCCACCAGAGGTCCTGCTGTTCCGGGAAGTAGAGGACTCTTTCGCTCATTATTAGACTGTCAAATAAATGAATAATTAAACCAAGCCGTGTGTGTTTGTCTTCTGTGTCTCGTCCATGTCTGGTCAGACCAGATCAGTTTGTGTTTTACTGGTGCAGTACCACTGTAGTACCACTATAGTACCACTGTAGTACCGTCGGAAACTTTAATCCAACAGTATCATGTAGAGACAGACACATGAATCAAGTGAGAAGCGTCTCTGAGCAGGTGATTAACTACCTCCGCTGCCTCTCACCTGCCCCGTTGCCCCAGCTCCGGGGCAGCCTGCAGCCGGTTACAGTTACAGCCCGGGCCGCGGTGTTTCCGCTGCTCCATCACACCTGTATCCTGAGGGTTGGCTGTCAACCCTGGAGGACGTCCAGCCCAGAGGAGGCAAGACGATCCGCAGCAGCTCAGTCTTAGCCGCGCAGGCGGAATGTGGGTCAGGTGTGTGTCGTCTGACCTGAACCGTGACCTGGCACGGTAACGCTGACTCGCTAATGAGCTGTCAGTACTTTAGACGGTGGCTGGAAAACACGTACCCTGGCTGTAGGTGGACTGGTAACGTCCACGACACACTGAGGGGACAGAGACGTCAGTGTGAACTGATACTGTTTATATGTGTGTTTGGATGTATCACAAACATGTCCAGGTCTGTGCTGCAGTACAGACGAAGATGAAGAATCACTTTCACCCTGCCCTGTCATCCTGGGCTGCTGCTGCTGCTGTGGCAGGTTGGCAGAAGTTTTACCCCAGCTGCCCTGTCTGATGCAACCCAACCTGGGACACAGCGTATGAGGTCGAGTTGAACCCTGGACCTGCTGGTGACACGGCGTCACTGCAGCCCTCGGTGACTGTGACTGAGGACGTAATAAAAACAATAAAATAACAACTGGTCGTAACGATTAAAATCTAATCTAAAGACTCGAAGCAGAGTAAACACCAGGAGAAGGTCGTCCAGTTGTGGCAAAACCTGAGGGTCGAGGGGTCAATTCTTGACTTGATAGCTTCTACAATAAAGTAACATATATATATACACATATATGTACCTATATATATATATAATCATGTATGTATATACAGTATATGCCAACATTTATATTAATGTGTGTCACTTGTCTCCAAACCAATACTAACCCTCTGATGTCTCTCACACACGGTGAAGACAGATTGAAGTATTTTCAGCCAAACTTGATCGCAGCTACATTTCCTGGGCGTTAATTCAAACCTCGTGTATCTCTGTCTGTTTACCACCTGCACCCTGTGCCTGTAAGCCGAGCCCACGGAGAGGGAAAGGGAGAGAGGAGAGGAGGTAAAGTAGTTGGTGTCCACCTGACCAGCACCGTCATGCAACATTAATGGACATGCATCATTGATGACGTCCGCTGCCTGCAGGTGGAGCCGTACAGCCCACCTCTGCCGTCAAATCCCCCGCAGCCTGCCACAGTCAGGTGACGGTCTGAGCATCGGGAGACCACAGGACCGGTTATGTCAGTCTGACTGGAGGAATCCAACCATCAACCCTGAGGTTTCTCCTGCAGGTGAGACAGAGCGGGAGACACCAATGAGTGACACCGCCGGAGCTGAACTCCCCACAGCCGTGCTGGGCCTGGGTCTGGACATCGGTGGGTCCTGGCAGGGCCAGAGGGACCGGGCTCTGGTTCAGAGTTACCTGCTCAACGGCTCGGTGCAGCCCATGGCAGCAGGAGGAGCCGGAGGAGCCGGAGGAGCCAGGAGCGGCAGAGGTTCTCTGAAGCTGCCGTCGCTGGCGGCTTCAGCCCGAGGGCGAGGCGGCAGAGGCAGCGTGGTCTGTCACAGGTACCGGTCTTCTCTGGTGACGTTTCTCCAGTGTGTGATGGAGCAGCTGACCTTCATCATCGTCATCATCACCTTCATCAGGTGATGATGACGGTGATGAAGGTCTTTCTGCCGGGGCTCTGTGGGGGGAGAGTTCTTCATCAACACAGACACCCCTGGCTGTTGAACTTTGCTTAAAATTGATATCAAAGCGCCCTCACCAGGGTGAAGCTGGCATTACCACACAGTTTAAAAATCAGCATTAAGGAGCTCAGCGTGTGAGGAGTTAATCTTCCTCCCTAATGTCCAAGGTTTGAACCCACTGATAAATCTCTGATTACCTGCAGTGGCAACTTCTGAGGGAGAAAGTTGACCACGACTCTTCTCCTGTATCGTCTTACCGTTGCATATTGGCCCGAGCCAATCCCAGCAGTCGATGGGTGAGGGCGGGGTCACACGCTGGACAATCGACCCGTCCGTCACACGGTCGCACCACAGAGATGAACGACCGTTGTTACTGTGTGTGGGTTCAATTTCAGGGTAAATCTGCAGCAGATCCAGACTCAGAGTGAAGCCAGGAGTGAAAGCAAACATAGGGGAGGCGGCCCGGTACAGGTCCGTCACTCTTTGACGCTGTGACGCTGACTTGACTGACACCCATGTGATCAGAGAAAAAAAATGCTGTCCCAGCATGCTCTAGTGCCACCTGCTGACATCACCGCTGCTCCAAACAGCATTTGTCGTCTTTGTCGTTTCGACATTCAACCACAGCTTTAGAACCGCACTGGAATTACACCGTTATTGTCCTCTCTGGGGTCAGTTCCAGTTTGATAGGATTATGTAGAGGCCCGGCTTCATTCATCCTCTCCTCTACCTCCCTCCTGTTTCCTCCCCTCCCCTTCCCTCCCACGGTGGCTTTCATTCAGACGAGGGGACCGGTGTGTCATAAATCTCAGGTGTGCAAGCTGATCCACGGCCCAGTGGAGGCAGAAACCTGAGTGATACACACACACACACACACACACTCGATTTGATGGCCTCCACCACAGGGTTTGAATGACCATCTCATAAATGAGGATCAGTGAGATTTTGTACAGAGGGAGGATGGAGCCTGTCCACTAACCTGACGTTTCCTCCCAGGAGACCAGAGGGAATCGAGTTCCACAATAACAGTTATCTGTGGACGGATGGACGGATGGATGGATGGATGAATGGACGGATGGATGGATGAATGGACAGATGGATGGATGGACGGACAGATGATGGATGGATGGATCTCCACTCTGAGAATCCCTGGACTTTGTAGGGTGACCTGGACTCCAGCCCTTTGTACTGTATAATACTGTAGTTCAGTCTGAGACCACCAGGTGGTACACATCAGTGTTTCTCAAACATTTTTTTTTCTGGGGAAAGTCAAAATCCTTCGCGACCCAAGTCAGTAGACATTATTTGTAAACTCCTGGGAAAAACAGGAGGCGAGACGACACACAAAAAATATATATATATATCTTGTGACCCACCTGAGAGTCGCGACCCAGTCTTTGGGAAACAATGGTCTACATGGTGTTTTCCATGCTAAGAACTTGTGAACTTCCTCTGGTGATGATGTCTGTGATGATGTCATCTTTTGGCTCATGTGATCCAATATACAGTGGGAAAAAAAAGACAGAACCAGAACTGACAGACAGGGGGCAGTAACGACTCTTTAACGACTCTTTAACAGCTTATCTCTCCTGTCGTTAACCTGCTGTCCTTTTCCCACAGCCTCAGTGAACCCTCGCTTCTCTCGCTCAGTGACAACGTCCGCTTCGATGGAGCCTCTGGCCTGCGCCGCATCAGCGTTTTTCCAAAGCGAAATCCTCTTCCATTTTCCAAACCTCCACTGCTGCCCAGTAAGTCCTGGCATCCGCCCGGCAGCAGCCAGCAGCACAGACCCACCTACGTCCACTTCTCACAGGCCATCCAGCCCGGGGTCAGGTCAAGAGCAGCCAGACGTTATACACTGAGCACAGATACAGGCGACCTCCGACCTTCAGCAATGGAGCCTCTGTCAGTCATTGGGAAGACCTGCCTTCCAGGCAGCAGTCAACGTGTTGTTGCTGCTGCTAATGCTAATGCTGCTGCTAATGCTGCTGCTACTGCTGCTGCTGCTGGTCCAGGTCGCACACAGCTACATGTTTTTCTGCCCACAGAGGCAGAGGGGGAGGAGGTGGACAGTGAGTCTGTGGACGAAGGCTTCATGGATGAGCTGGACAGTAAGATAACCTCTCTGAAGCTCCAGCAGAGGGCGTCAAAGACGCTATATCAATGCTAAAAGGGAGCTAACTCGCTCTTTTGGAGCCCAAGCTGTGAATACATTATGATTTTTTTTTAAAATAAAGTAACATTACAAAATAAATAACCACACAATAAGCTGTTGGAGCCACGTGTTAGAGCTCATGATCATGAAACAAGCTGATGAAAATGTGTTTGTATCTCATACGGTTTGAGTGTCTTTATGGAAGCTACTTTTATATTTGCCAGTTTCAACAGTTACACTCAAGAAACGTTAAATCAATAATTTCCAAAAACTAGTGCTTCATTATTGTTAAAATGTTCTGCGATTATTCGCATTGTAAAGAAAAAAAAGTAATTGTTATATGTTTATGAAGTTAAAGAAATCATGCTAAAATGTTTAAAAAATACTGAATCTACACAGGTGTTAAAATCAAGCGTCCAGTTTTTCAGCACTGATCTATGTGAGCTAACAAACAGCTCTGTAAATCATTAACAATGTTTGTCTCTAATTATCAACGTTTGTGTATGTTTGTGTAAATAAACACTCATCTGAATGCTTTCATTGACTCACTAACAGCTTTTTGTTTTGTTTTGTTATACTGACCCTGTGTTCCAAACAGGAACGCTAATATTTAGCATATAAATAAATAAACAAGGTTTTGGAGGAATAAGTATTCGTAGAAGTGTAGAAAAAGTTATGTTATAACAGAAAAAATGTTTCCCTAGTAACATATTTTTTTCCGAAATTAACAATAAGTACAATAATATTAATATCTTTGTTTCCCGATCGGTTATTGTACAATGGCTGGACTTTATTATTTATTGAGTGCTCGGACTCCACAGCCGGGCGGCGATAGTGAGCGTCTAAAGTTTAACCACCGCTAAAACCATAGTAAAGAAGAAGACTATTCCACATTACAACAAGATACAGTGGATACGAATGATGTAGCACAGGTTTTCGATACTTGTTTTGGCGGTGTGGCCTAGTTTTAATCTATTTTTAATTAACCTCCAAGACTCCAAGAAGCGGGATATTTCTGGAGCCAACATGGCGACTACGGGAAGTACGGATGGACACCAGCGTCTGGCCACCAATCAAGACCCTACTGTGCAGGAGTGTGGCGCGGTAATGTTTCCTTTGCACGTCGTTACGGCTCAGTACTTTTGTTATCACACATTTGTAGGAAAAAACTTTGGCCGTCGTCGTTTTAAATGCAGGACGGCGGTCAGGTTGTTTCGCTATGTAAACATCCTCGTACGCTGAACTCGAGTGTTAGCGAGCGAGCTAACGAACAGCCGGACTGTTAGCCTTAGCCCAGCACAGAGTAAATTGGCTTTTTTAGTCTGTTAGCCTTAGCCCAGCACAGAGTAATGTGGTCGTTTTAAATATAGATCATTCATTTTTTTAAATAAAATGCTTAATTGGTAACATGGAGAGAGACGCGACACCGACGCAGGTGAAAGCAAATCCTTTGATTTTCATGCAAACGTGAGGTTTAGAATGTAGACCTCTGTTAGCCTAGTTGACTCGTCACTGCAGACTCACGTCCTATGTTACGGTTGTAAACAGACAACAGTCAGTGTCACACATGTCTGCGTTTCAATTCACACGCCCACATTGTCACGCGCCCGTGTTTGTCATATTAATCATCATGTTTTGAGACTGTGTTTGTGCACGGGGTTCTCAAGTGATGGGTGATCAGCCCAAAATAGACCGTGGGTGTATGCTTGGTGGGCCCTAACTGGACTGGACTAGACTGGACTGGAAAGAACCTGGTCCTACCCTTATAGTAAAGGGACAAGGGTTGTAGTAGATAAAGCTGTCAATCAGAAGAGAATTTTAAATTTATTATTGAAAATTCAGGATGTGTTTTGTTGATCACAGGTGAACAAGGGGACATGTGTAGAATCATCAGGGACTGAAGAAAACTGGACATTGCAGATCCAAGGGGTGTTTGTGACTCTCCTTCTGAAATGTTTACACAGGAGGAGGAGAAGGAGAAGGAGGCGGGTGACGTCAACTCCACTGTTGCTGAAAATGGTGACCACAGGAAAGAAGCTGCAGCAGATGTCAGCCCTTCCTGCTCTGATCCACATCCATCGCCATCGTCCACAGACCAGACGTTCACGGTCACAGCTTCGGTTCCTGACGATGAACCAAACAGTTCTTCAGAGACAGGAACTGGTCCTGAGGTAAAGACAGAGGAGACGGACAAAGAAAACGTATCTGTAACAGACGAGAACAACTCAGAGGGCGAGGACACAGATATGGACAAAACCTCAGACGCGCAAAAGGACTTGAAGGAGAACGCTGCGCCCCGCAGCTGTACACTGAGGGTGTCTACAGCGGATGACCTGGACGAGATGATGGACATCGGTACGGTGGACCAGATAGACCAAGAAGCTCAGATGGAAAAGGAAGAGGGATGGGAAACACCCAGAGATGTGCAGAGGACGCCCTCTTCTGGCAGCTCTCCCACAGGTAACACAAAACAAAAGTGGATTTGTGTTACATTTTTTGAGGGAGGTTTTGAAGGTTCAGGCCTTTACAGAGATGCAGTTTTTTTATTGTTATGATTTGTATAAAAACAACCTTTCCACAGTTGAACAGATGAGGGCAGTGTTGTCAGGAAATGCTGAAATTTCCTTTTTTTTCTGCATCTCATTTACAACAATGCCTTGACTTTACTTCATCAGGTCAAGTGGAGGAGGATGAGGAGGAGCAAGGAGATGTGAAGCCCAGTGTTCTGACACCTCCTAAGGCAGAGACGCAGGAGGAAACGACCAGTTCAGGTGAGGTGTCCACCTCTTCAGCTCCTTCTTGTAATAAAAAAAACCCCAAACAAAATAGACAATAAAATAACAGAGGAGCAGAGTGAACGTTTGACGTTTGGTCGGTTTGAGTTCTTCTTAAATTTTGTTTTTTGATTCCTCTGAACTTGTTGCCTGTGTTCCTGTAGGGAGAACCAGCTTATCGCCCCCGCCCAAGGTGAATGGAATGAGAGTAAGTCAAATCTTCATTAGATGGAACTCTTGTTGGCCCCCGAGCCCCATGTTGACACCTTCACAGCTGATGTTCCTTTTTTCTTTTCTTTTTTCCTCCTTGTGTTGTAGACCCGATCCCAGACGGCTAAGTCGTCCAGGTCCACTTCACCGCCGCTGGTCAAGGTGAAGGACGAGCCCGAGGACGAAGAGTACGACCGAGCTCTGGTTTCCTCCACGTCCGACGCCAGTGTGAAGGACGAACCAACCACGGCCAGGGTGAGAAGATCTCCTGAACTGGTACTGTTTGACATCGGTGCATGAACCAAACAAGGAGCTCATACACACAGGTCAAACTACACCGTACACATAGAACTATGCACTGTATATAACACCATAAAGTGTGTATAAAACTATAGGGCAGCGATTATCAACTGGTGGCCCGAATCCAGCCCACCGTATTGTCCTAACCCGGCCCACGACTGGATTCCGGAACAAACATCAAATAATAATATTACACAAAAATGTGATTTCTATGTCTGGCAAAAATAGTTGACCATTGTTGTCCATTTTTTAAAAATAATTAACTAATAGTAATGATAAAACTGTGGTAATACTGTTTACACGCCTTCAGTGTTTGATTAAATTGGTCTGTTTTTTTCTTCTTCTGACCATCCCCCGTCGCTCACTTCTGCGTCGCTGACAGGAGGACTTGGGGATCGGGTCGGTCTACTCCGTCACCCAGTCTACCAGTTCCCAGAAGCCTCCTGTCCTCTCGTCCTCACACATGTCCTGCTTCAACTGCAAAAAGAATCTGCTGAAAGGACAGACGGCGTTCCAGAGGAGGGGCTGCTCGGCGCTCTTCTGCTCCACCTCCTGCCTGGCCACCGCCCTGCCCAATCAGAAGAGTCTCAGCGTCATTTGCTTCAACTGCCAAAAGTGAGTGCAGCCGAGCAGCGGTCATGTCTGTCATGTCTGTCATGTCTGTTGTTGTTCTCCTCGTTTGTACTTACCTCTGAACGCCGCCCCTTCTCCCAGGGCGGTCCTCCGACCTCAGGACATCATCCTGTCCCCCGACGCTAAAGGAGCCATGAAGGAGTTCTGCAGCCAGAGTTGTTTGAGTGCCTTCAACTACAAGAAAAGGAGCTCCGCCACCAAGAAACCAGAAGCCACCAAAGCAATAGTATCAAAAGGACCGCACTGTATCTGCAGCGTGTGCAACAGGATCTGTGTTGTGAGTTAGTCCTGACCACCACTACCACCTCCACTCTGGTCCATTCCTCTTCCTTTTTGTGTGACAGCTCCATCTCCCAGAATCCTTTGCTCATCACCTTGCTGCAGTTTAAAAAGTTCTGTTAGGCAACTGGACGTGAATTTTCTAAAAGAAGACGTTTCACCTTCAAAAATGACTTCTTTTACCCCTCTCTCAAACCATCTGTCTTCCCTGGCCAAAATGTGGACATTGTTGTCCTCAAAGGAGTGTGTTTTGTCCTTGAGGTGTATGTGAACAGCTGAGTCCTGTCCTGAGGAGTCGGCCCTCCTGTGTTAGGTCATGAGTGTAGGGGTTGTTTAGTCTCCCAGGGAGACTAACCAACCGCTACACAGGCGGGTTGTCCTGGTTGACAAAAATGTCTCCCAGGGCCTAACCTAACAGGGTGGAGCTGAAGTATTCTTTATCACACCTACAGTATATATCTGCTCTAGTCCCCACCACCAGTTAGAACTGAAGGAGACTCTTGGATCAGAGGTGAAACGTCTTCTTTTAGAAAATTCACGTCCAGTTGCCTAACAGAACTTTTTAAACTTGACCATGACCTGGATGACTGGGAATCTTCATAGACTTGTTGCAGTTTTTCTGTCACATGATTTCTTTTTTTTTCTGTTCATTTGAGAAAACACAGTTTTTAAACTTGAGTCCCTTATTTTGAACCATTTCTGAGGTGCAAGTCTTTGTGCAGTACCAGTGTTTGCCTGCAGGAGCTGACTTTTATGAATGTTTTAAACTGTTTTTGTTGTCTCCGTCTCTCTCCAGAGTAAACACGAGGTGGTCCTGAACGAGGCCGTGCACAAACTCTGCAGCGACCTCTGCTTCACCCGTTTCCGCTCGGCGCACAACCTGTCAGTGGCCTCCTGTGCGAACTGTGGCTCCTTCTGCCACGGAAAGTCAATGACGCTGCGGCTGGAGGGAACCAGCAAAACCCTGTGCAACCTGACCTGCCTGGCCAAATACAAGGAGGTAGGAGAGTCCGAGATGTGCTCCACGGGCCACGAGTTTATTCTCCTTCAGCTTCTTTAACATAACATGGCTTCGTCGTCGACGTAACTTGCGATTCGGTCGGTTTAGTTTTACGCCTTTGACGGTTGTTTGTTTTTTTTGTGGTAAAACAGAAAAACAAGACAACGCAGCCGTGCTCCATGTGTCGAGTCGAGCGCTTGATATCGGAGATGGTGGACAACAAAAACAACGAGGACGACTCTGTCAACCTGTTCTGCAGCAGCAGCTGTGTGATGGCCTTCATGGTTCAGACCGTCAGTGCCTCAGGTGACAAGACAAAAACAAAAAAAGCCGCTCCGTGACATTTGTCGTTTTACTCGTACGTGAAACCAGTCTGTTGTTGACAGGGGCGCGGGTCAACTGTGACCACTGTGGCAAAAATGCCGTCCCTGCGTATCACCTGGCCATGTCGGACACCAGCATCAGGAACTTCTGCTCTCTGCCCTGTGTCATGACTTTCCAGGTGATGACGCAGGAATTTTTTTTTTTTTTTTTTATGATTTTAGTTTTCTACAACAGTGGTTCTCAAACTATGGAACGTGTGCAACAAGTGGTACTCAAGCTCTAAAAAGAAGCCTTTAATAGATACATGTATGTATCTACAGTATATATGTAGATATATGTATGTATGTATATATGTAGATATGTATGTGTATATACATATGTGTATATATATACATATATATGTATGTGTGTAGATATATGTATATACTCATGTATATATATACATATATTTGTATGTGTGTAGCGTGTATATATATACATATATATGTACATATATGTGTATATACAGTATGTACTGTACATATATACATATATATATGTATGTATATATGTACATATGTACATATATTACTGAAGTACCATATATTTTCCACGTTGACTCTGACGTTCTCTCTTTGCCGTAGGAGAATTTTAAGAAATCCCAAAAACAGATGAACATCTTCACAAAGTTACCAGTTGGATCGTCACAAAGCCCGGAGTCGGCTCCAGTGGAGCTGGAGGCGGATCTCTCCAAGGACGCCGACGCACTGAACTGTTCCCAGTGTGGACGCCACATCACCTTCACACCTGAAGTCATCCACCTGAAGGTGGGTGAGGGAGGAGAACCTGACTGACCACACTGTGAGGAGAGAAGTGTCCTGATGTCCCTGTGTGTGTGTGTGTGTGTGTGTGTGTGCAGGATAAGATGGTGTTTGTGTGCAGCCCGGAGTGTTCGCAGGAATACAAGAATGACAACTTTGTCACCAGTCCGTGTGAGTACTGTAAGGCAGAGAAGATCACCACGGAGGTCAGGAGGATCAACAACAAGGACTGTCACTTCTGCAGTGAAGGTACCAAGACGACCAAAACACACACACACACACACACACACACACACTCACTGACTGACTGTGTTCTGTAGCTGTATTTATATTTATGTCCTGCTTCATCATTCCTCCTCACCCCATCTTCCTCCTCCTCCTCCTCTCAGGCTGTAAGCTCCTCTTCAAACACGACCTGGCCAAAACCTGGGGCAAACACTGTCCGTCCTGCACCTACTGCCACTGCACCTCAAAGAAGGTGGTGACAGCGCAGTACGGGGGCGCCACCGAGGAGTTCTGCTGCGAGGAGTGCAGGTCCAAATACACCATGCTCTTCTGCCACGTGAGTTCACAGCCCGACTGATCTACTGAGGGTTGGCTTTTGGACGGACGTTCACTCTCTCCCGTGTGCTGGTCTCTCTCAGTTGTCCAAATGTGACATGTGCGGAACCAAAGGGAAACTGAAGCAGAGTCTCCCCCTGCTGTCCGAGGTCAAGTACTTCTGCGATCAGACCTGTCTGCTGCAGTTCTGTGTTGAAAAGTCGTCACAGGGAGAGCTCTCCAAAGGTGACAGTCATTTATATATTACAAACTGATATATATGTATACATATAGATATACATATATGTGTGTATATATGTATATATGTATGTGTGTACATATACATACATCTCTACCTGTCTTGGTTCTGTGTCTCTGCAGATCCAGCCGAGGACACACCTGTCATCGCCAACGTCATGTCGCTCGCATCAGAAAATGCCACGGCTTCTGAGCAAAGTAGCAGACAAGCAGGTGCAGAACAACTCGTCTTTCAAAATACAGACGAGAAAAAAAAAACTTTATTCACTGTAGAGTGTTGAATGTGTGGGTTTTTTTTTTTTTTTTAAACATTTCTAATTTTTCCTTCCCAGGCACAACTACTAAACCTCTGTCAAAGAACTCGACACAAGTAAGAAATAAAATCAGTTAGTTATACTGGTTAGTGCACCAGTCCAGGTGTGTTTGACCTCTGACCAGGAACCACCAAAAAAAAAAAGATGCTAGTAGATTTACATTTACTGTGGTGTGTGTGTGAATCCTGTTCCTATCTGTCTCTTTTAGACTGAAACAGTCGAACCACAATCTCCAAAAATCCTGAAGAACAAAGCTCTTCTCTGTCGACCGCTGGTGAAGAACAAAGGAGTCTCCTGTAGACTACAGACGTCAGACGCTGAGTCACAGACAGGTTAGAAAACACTGGCTCTCCCAACCTTTACCGTTATAAATCTGTGTCACGTCTTAAGTCTTAGCCCAACTCTAATCTGATACTGTGTTTAGTTCTAAGTCCAAACTAGTTCTTTCCCCAGAAAATGCCCTCCTACTCCGGTCCCCACAAGTATAGATTTACCTGAAAGACACACAGGATTTTGTGTTTTCTGAGGCCCTCTTGTGGACATTGTTTATTCCCTTGACCCTTTCTACCCTAACTATTACAAATCCATGTCTAATCTTTATTCTCTAAATCTAATTCTACTCCAAACTAAATGTTGAACCCCGAAAAAACCCACTCACTCAATGGAGACCAGCTCATTGTCCCTGCAAGGACAAAGTGTCCACACAGAAGTCACATGCTTAGAACGTTGTTTATTTGACCTAATTTCTTCACACACGGCTTTTTTTTTTTTATCTTCGCTTTTTAGTTGGCATCTTCCCAAAGATGATGGTGATTCCCGTGCCGGTGCCGATCTACGTCCCAGTTCCCATGGCCATGTACAGCCAGTTGACTCCTCAGGCCGTGGCTCTCCCTCTACCAGTACGTCTGCCTTCTCCTCCTGACACATTTAAAGAAGCAGAAACATCCTAACCTCCTCCTGCTCCCCCACAGCTTCCTGTGCCCCTGTTACTTCCTGTCACCACGGACAACGCCGAACGCATCATAGAAACCATCCAGGAGATCAAGGAGAAGATTCCCGCTGATCCTTACGAGGCCGACATCATCCTCATGGCGGAGATGGTGGCGGAGCAGAGCGAGCCGGAAGTAAAGGAAAAGAAGGCAAAGGTCAAGGTGGAGAGGAAGTCGGGGAGACGTGCGACGGCGGCAGCGGAGGGTGAGCCAGTGTCCTTCACCGTTGGTGGAAAATGACAACAAGCAGGTTGAACGTCAGTCCTTACAGAACATTACGTTTTTTTTGCAGATCGCACCGGTGCCTACGGTGACGACCTGGACACGGAGGACTTGGCCACTTTCCTCAACAACTTTGAAGACAACTCCTCTGACACGGGTCTCAGGCCGCTGAGTCGACCTCACTCGCGGGAGAAGTCCAACTCGGTGGCGAATGCTTCTGCGGCCGTGGACTCCCAGCCTGTGGCTCCGCCTCCTATGGACGTAGAAACTGATTTTAACGTCGGTAAGAAAATCTCCTGCTCCGGGTCGGACTGATCTGAGAACCAGTAATATAAATTAGCAGGTTAGTTTTAAAAGTAAAAACTAGCTTAAGGTTAGCCAGAACAAGGATCAAAATAACCACAGCGATTGAACTTTGTAAAAGCTAACTAAGCCTTGGTGTTACTAACCTTTATATCATTTTTTATTCAGAAACTCTGGAGAAGATGGCACGACTGAGGGAGCATTCCCAGAGGTCTCCCAGTCCCCCTCCCACCACCTCACGACGGAGACAAGCTAACAAGAAAGGTCGAGAAAAGAGGGTAAATATAGGGTCTCTGTATCAGTTTGTCTTTTACACTCTTTGTCGTCTTTTAACGTCTTTGTTTCCTGGATCCTCTAAGGGTCGTAAGGCGCAGGAGTCTAAAGCGGCAGACAAGAAATCTCAAAAAGGTTCTGCCCTCAAGGCCGCTGCCACAGATCTCCCAAAACTTCAGAGTCGATACGGAGTGGACGCCTGGAAGCGATGGATGCAGTGGAGGCAAAGTCAGCCCAACCTGGTCAAACCTCGATTCGGTTGTAAGTCTGAATGTATAAGACGTATAAAAAATAAAAATCAGAATGGATGAGATGGAAACGTGGTTTCTGAACCTCCTCGTATCTTCATCTCAGCGCGGCCCATGGAGTTGAAGGAGGACCTCCTCAAATGCACCACAACCGAGCTGAGCTACGGCCTCTGCTGCTTCATCTCGGAGGTGAAACGACCCAACGGGGAGCCGTACACGCCTGACAGCCTCTTCTACCTCTGCCTGGGCATCCAGCAGGTCAGAGGAGCGCAACACTGCCCCCTTTCACCACGTCCTGGAATCGCACAAACAAAACCCAACCGAACACCCTCAACCAAGAGCTTTCTTGACTTTCTGATTTCATCTGCCACCTTTTCTCTGCCTGCAGTATCTGTTCGAGCACAGTCGCGTGGAGAACATCTTCACAGATCGGTTCTACAGCAGGTTCTCTGCAGAGTTCACCGAGAAGCTGAGGGATTTTCAGCCTTTGGTCACAGACAGTGGTGGGTTCTCACACCTGTTCTCCTCAGACTTTATCATTCTGTTTTTCTTCCTTGCAGTTTTTTCCCCAAAGCATTACTCTGGTCGTTGACCAATCAGGACGCTTGTTTATCTACAGTCGCACATTCCCTTCTCTGCTATCGTGTTATTTACAGTCTGACCTCCTGTGTCTCCACAGGTTACATTCACTCCCTTGTGGAGGAGGAGTTCCTGTGGGAGTGTAAACAGTTGGGGGCGTACTCCCCCATCGTCCTCCTCAACACGCTCCTCTTCTTCTGCTGCAAGTACTTTGGCTTCACCACGGTGGAGCAGCACCGGCAGCTCTCCTTCGCCCACGTCATGCGCTGCACCAAAAACAACCTGGACAACACCCGCACCACCTTCCTGCGCTTCTACCCGCCCATCTCCACGGAGGCAGAGTCAGGTGGGACCGTTGTGTGTGTGTGTGTGTGTGTGTGTGTTTCACTGTGTTTCTCACCACGTGCTGTGAACCTCAGTCGGTCTAAATCTGTACTGGATGTCCTCAGACCCCGAGACTCCGGCCAAGAAGCGTAAGGACGAGGAGGCTAAGGAGGACATCCTGGAGATGGTGGAGAACCAGGAGAACCCTCTGCGCTGTCCTGTTCGACTCTACGAGTTCTACCTTTCTAAGTGGTCGGTATCATTGCCTTCTAATTTCTACTCATGATATGTGATTCACCACTTTCTTTTCCCACTGTGTACTGTCATGGTATGACCAGTGACTTTTTGAGATAACACAGCCTACTCCTTACGCATTGATGCAGGAATTCATTTTTTTATTTTAATCAATGTAAATCGTGACGGATTCGTATTGATTTTTAACCGACTACGATGCGTCGTTACCTCTCTATTCTCTACATGTGTCTTCTGTAAATGCCCCCGTCACCCTGCTGATGTTACCCCATCTGTCTTCCGCCCAGCTCTGAGTCGGTCAAGCAGCGCACCAACGTCTTCTACCTTCTGCCTGAGCGATGCTGCGTCCCCAACAGCCCCCTCTGGTTCTCCTCCACCGCCCTGGACGACACCACCATGGAGGCCATGCTCACCCGCATCCTCACCGTCAGGGAGCTCCACGTCCATCTGATGAAGCAGAAAAGCACCAGACGGAAAACCAGCAGAAAGTCGTCGTACCGACCAAACACGGAGGAGGAGGAGGAGGAGGAGGAGTTGTCGGAGTGACGGAGAGACGAAAACTGACTGACAAACTTCAGAAGTGACCTTTTCCTGATCAGTGCAGCCAACGGTGGTGTAGACCGACTGATACATTGGTTCAAACAAACAATAATTGACTCTTAGCTCTGGTCATGAACTTTCTGAAAAAGACTTGCTTTTGTTTACTGTCACAAAGAAATAGTCAACAAAGCGGCCACTAGTGAGGAGCTCAGCAGGTACACAGACAAACAAAAGGCTTTTCTCATTGATGTTGACAAGAAATATTTACACCAAGAGACACACTGAACAGATTTCACTGCTAACTTTGTCCAACTACACAATCAGAATCAGAACATTCCTTATTGGTCAAAAAAAAAAGATTCTTTAAAAAAAAAAAAGATCCACGAATTTTCATTCCCATCATGTGGGGAAAAAAACTGAAAATTCATTTTCTACTCAATATTTTCCCAGTGGTTAGAAAAGTATTGTTAAAGGCCAATACAGTTTGTTGTTGAAAATATATTGTAAAATTTACACTTGCCATTTTATCTAACTTTAGAAAAAAAGTCTAATCAAATTCACATTAACAGCTTTTGATTTTTTTTTTTTGTATTTCTGTTTGAAGGAGAGATTTCACTGTAGCTGAAAACGTTGGACTCTAACAAATGTTTTTTTGACTGATCATTCTAGTCAGGGGAATCTCCAAACTGTGTGTCATCTTTTTATGTGGTAGGGTATGCCGTTCCATCCATCAACATCTTGAGACATTGGCCATTTTGGATCACTACGACCCCGGAGTTACGTCTCTGACTGTGTACATGTCGGTTCCAGTAACCCCCTGGTTCACTGAATATTTTGTATTCTTATGGTTTTTTTAGTTAAAAAAAAAAGAAAAATGAAAACTTGTTATAACTTGTTTTTTTTAATGTTGTTTCACTAGTAGTATCACTAGTATCAAGTCTGTGGAGAAGAGTGATGTGCAGTCAAGTTCGTGCTTCACTGGTGGTGTTAGGTCGATGAGCCAAAGCCTTTTAAAAATACCTTTTTAAAAAACAGAAAATGCTATATACTCATGATGATTTTGTAAAAAAAAAAAAACAAGTACTTGTGGTCAACTATGCAACGCAAATAATTACGTGCAAATAAGATGTGAAGTGTGAAAGGTAATGGCGGACGATAACAATAATGGAAAATGGAAAGGATAAGCAGTTCTCTATAAGACTAATATAATATTGACCAGGTTAGTTAGTGTTATCAGTATTAATAAGATTAAATTAAAAATTTCCGGCAGCTTTCCAACAAAAAAATATTTATTAACTCATTTTCTTTCTTTTTTAAACACTGCCTGTAAAAAAGTATTATTATTGTTTTTAAAAACCAACTGCACATTCCGGTTTGAGTGTCCGCCCACCGTTCGCGGTACTGAAAATCTCGTAATCTCATTCGCTTCTACCGATGTCAGACAGTGACAGAGCACTCAGTGATTGGTTGACGTGATTCCGACAACGAAACGTCACGAAGAGCAGGAACCCGGAGTAGGAAACATGGCTGCCACTGTGTGAGCTGCTTGTACAACGTTGATGCTGCATTTAAAGGAAACTGACGTTAAGGTAAACGATATTTTCACGTCCATCGTATTTATTAATGACAGACGCAATGGTCAGGTTGTTTATTTACCGCATTCGACTTATGAGGAGTTCAAGTATTAATGCAAAGTTAACTGCCTGCGGATTTTTGTATAATATAACTCAAGGGATTGTATTAAAATTTAATAAATGCGTTGCTTGTGGTGGAGGTGAAGGTCTTACATTCGCCACCGTAGTTGTCTTCATCAATTGTGGTTAGTTTTGGCAAGAATCCACTATTATCCTTGCCCGAAACTATTTGTTTAATCTGTTAAAACATTAGTATACGATACATAAACAATGCCATTAACAGTCGAACATTCTCGTAGTTAACCACAAATAATTTCCTCCTCACTGCCAATGTACCTTACCTATGTTACTTTATTTTTTTTTAAATTTTGGAAAATCAACTATAACAAAGTTGACATTTTGCTCTTTTTTTTATTTTAAAACGTCTGTAACTACCAGAAACCAGTGAAGCATTTATTGATGCTATAATGCGGTGCACAGACTGCATGTAAAAAGTTTGTGACCTCTCCAAGATTATTTTGGAAACCCCTGGGACATACTGTTTTAACTGCACTACTAGTGTTGGCCGGCAGGGGCTGGACACAAACATAAAAAAATATATATATACATTTTTTGGTCAATCCAAAAAAAAGATGCTCTGTTGATGATAATGAATAATGTTTTGTTTTTTAACAACGTTGTTTTCAACACTTCCTTTCCTGGGTGTGCCGTAGAGCACCCTCTGCTGGATAAGTACTGCATAGATTACACCAATCTAAGAGTCTAATCTGTTGTGGTGCACCACATTTTGGCCAAACAGCCTGGGATGGAAAAACACAGACGACCTTTGACCCCGGAGGAAGATGCTCTGGAGCACATATCTGCTGGTAAAGACAAATCTTCTCTGGAGGAAAGGTTCATAGATGCCTTCAAAGGTGGGTGACACTTCAAATAACATCAAATACATGTAATGCATTAATTATATGGTATTGTTTAAGTATCATTGAAAAAATATACCTTTTTTTTTCACCTGACCCTTTAGGGAGGGGTCTTTTCACAAGAAGGGCCATTCAACCTTCCTCATTTGTGGTTGAATATCGTGGGAACGTTGTCTGTCAAAAAGATGCCCAACCCGTGAGATCATCTGGAGATAACGTGAACAATTTTTTATACGAGTTTTCCTGGAACGAAAAGAGATGGTGGTGGGTAAATGACTTATTTGTCGTTACATATAACATATCCTTTAATACTAATCGTTTTTCTATGTCTATGATTTGATAAAACCCATTTGGTGAAGAGTATTTTTTTACTTGCAGCGTTGATGCGTCGATAGAAGACGGAAGCCTCGGCAGACTTGGGAACGACGATCACCAAAGTCCAAACTGTAAGATGAAGAAAATATCTTTTGAAGGGAAACCACACTTATGTCTGTTTGCTTTAAGGAAAATATCTGCAGGAGAAGAAATAACGTACAATTATGGAAACTACTCGTACCCGTGGCGCTCAGTGGTAGGACCTGTTTTTTTTTACAGCAATAAAAAAAAGTAATGTTTTGTAATCATCAAATACATAAAGTGAAGACTTTACTGTTGCTGCTTTGATGTAAATTCACCTGATGCCTTGATTATAAAACATCAGATTATAAAAACATCCACTACAAATCATCAAAACCATTTTGCATAATTTGTCCACTTGCTTCTCATCCCTATTCTACGTTTGATTTCTAAATCTTTAGTTTAAAGAATCCTGCTTCGATGAGAAAGACATGGACCAACTGTCTGACGGTGTGAACAGCGAATGCTCAGGCAAACGCAGAAGTGGACGGAGCCGTGGATCAATTTCTCACTCCTACAAAGAGTCACAGAGCTCCTCAGACCCACAATCAGGTGATGACGTTTCTTCAGCCAGTGGTGAGGAATACGCTCCCCCTGAGGATGATGATGAGGTGGAGGAAGAGAAGGAGGAGCCTGTCTGTGGACAGGCTGTGGAGAAAACTCTCTCCAAGAAAAACTATTGTTTTGTTTGTGGGAAAGGAATGATCAAGTTGGCCCGTCACTTACGTCAGACTCACGCCAAACATGACCCTGAAGTTGCTGCGGCCTTCAAGATGCCTAAGAATTCCAAGGAGCAAAAGCTGGTGCTCAAGAAGCTCAGGTGCAGAGGAAACGTCAAACACAATGAAGAAGTGCTGAGGAGCAACCGTGGGCAGTTGAAACTCCTGACTCGACCGCGACGGCACACGTTTGACATCGGACAGTACGTGGCCTGTCTTCACTGCAAGGCCATGGTGAATGGCAAGCATCTCTGGTCACACCTGGCCATCTGCCCCTTCAGAAAATCATGCAGTCATTTAAAAGGTGTGAAGGATGTGTCCACCAGGGGCGCTGTTGCCAAGTCTCAGGGTAAAGCGGTGGTGACCAGGTACGCCTGGAAGGTGCTGTCGAAGATGAAACAAGACAACATCGCCTTCATCGTTCACAATGATGACCTCCTGGTCCAGCTGGCCCAGTATCTGTCCGAGAAGTGCAACTATCAGACCACCGGACAGGATGACATCGTAGACACGCTTAGAGTCTTGGGCAAACTCATGTTAGCGCTGCAGGCTAAGTCCATATTCAAGTATGAAGACGCCATCAATCCTAACAACTTCCACATGGTTCTCGAAGTTATCAGGTATTTAGCCAATTTCGATAAGCAGAAGCGTCGGTACCGCAAACCAGTCTTAGCTTCACGGATAGGAAGTGCTCTTCAAAATCTCTGCAAACTCGTCCTCAAGATCTCTCACGACAACGAGGAGCTGAGGTCGAGAACCACGGAGGTTATGGCCATGTGTAAAAGTGAATTTCGCCGACCTAGCGCTCCAAAAGCCACTCCCATCACCAGGAGAGATCTTCCAGAAAAAGGTCGTCCGAAAGAAGACGGGCCGTGTCCCATAACGTTTACGATGGATGTGCAGGTTTTACACAAGTACCTGGAAAAGACCTTGGACTCTGCGGTCGAAAGCCTGGAGAAGTTTGCCAGCCCGCAGGTCTACAACGCCCTCTGCAGGGTGCTCTTTGCTCAGGTTAGCATCTTGAACAAAGGTTCAAATCACATTTCGAAACTGACTCTGAAATCATTCCATGACCGAAAGGAAACGGAGCAAGTCCTGTCCAAACAGTTGATCCGGATCGACATTGTAACTCACGGCAAAAAGATTTTGCCAGTTTTGTTGAAACCCGAAATGATCAGCACAATAACGCTCCTGGTGGACAAGAGAAGCAGCTGCGGCGTACACGCGGATAATCCGTACTTGTTTGCGAAGCCTGACAACTCGGTCTCCAGCGCGTTCCTCTCCAGGGGCTGCGTTGTCACCTATGCAAAAATGTGTCACGTCAAACAACCAGACCACCTGAAAGGACCGAACTTCAGGCACCTAGCAAGACTTTTCCACATACTGGACCTGAACGACAGCGAGCTCGATCACCTGGCAAAAGTGCTGGGCCGCAACATGCGGACGGAGCGCGACTGGTACCGGACACCAGAGGCAGCGCAAGATCTGGCCAAAGTCGCCAAACTGCTCATGGCGATGGAAATGGGTTTTCTGGAAAAAATCAAAGGAGATACACTGGACCAAGTCCAGCTCCTGGGTAAGTGTGGAATTAGGTCACATTATTATTATTATTATTATTATTAATTCTTCTTCTTCTTCTTCTATTATTTTTAATTCTAAGTCCTAATAAATAACACCACGTGGTGCTCCCTCTGTAGATCACCTGGAGTCATATGTGGAGGAGGACCAGTCTAACAATAGTAATGAACAGGATCGTATGAAGTTTCAACAGGAAGGTAAGAACAAGGCAGTATTGACCGACGGTACATGGACATGAAAAATACTGAATTTCACTTGGATTACAGTTACACTGGGGGAAAAGAAACCTCAATATATCATCATGACTATCACCAGATCCTTGAAAACACAAAACACACACCAGTAGTTTTGTGTTTTTACATCAGGGACAAAGACTCAGGGAGACTGTTAGCTCTAAAGACACTAATGTTTCAGTTTAACCCCCTAGTGGACAGATGAGCAGTAAAAAAATGTTTCTATTTTTCTAGTTGTTACGAAACAAGGAAACACAGAGGAGGTGGACACATCAGAAAATGATGATGCTGCTGCTGCTGCTGCTGCTGCTTCTTCAGAGGATGAACCGGTGAGTTCAGGCTGCTGTGGTTCTGTTCAGGACAGGCTAACAGTACCACCCTTCACCAGTAGGTGCCAACACGGCCGTGACGCAGTTTCCCGTCGATGTTTCAGGCTGTGGACTCAGATGACTTGGCTCACGGTGTGAACGTTAGTGATGAAGAACCGAGCGCCTCAGGACCTGATCCTGACCAGTCGGTCCAACAGAAGAACTCTGTCGACCACGTCTACGACGGGACGTCCGATGAAGAGGACCGAATCATCTCCTTCACCAAGGAGAACTTCTGTTTCGTCTGTGGTAAAGGTTACTCCAAAATAATTCGCCACTTTTGGACCCACAGAAAACAAGTAGCCGAGATCCAGGACGTGTACGATCTGCGTCCCGGGTCCAAGAAACGAAGAAAGAGCCTGGAACTCTTCCGCAACAGGGGAAACTTCCAACATAATCTGGAAGTGTTGAAGAAGGGTGGCGGGAAAGTGAGAGTGATGAAGAGAACCTCGGGTTTGACCACCTCAGCTGAAACCCTGGCGGCCTGTTTGTATTGTAAAGCCATGTTCCCCAGCAGAGTCTTAAGGTCGCACTTCAACAAGTGTCTGTCGAAAAAGGCCCTGAAGTCCTCGGTGTTTCTCAGCTCCAGTGTCTTACAGTTGATCACCACGGTTCCCAGAGTCCTGGAGAAAATGCCGTCGCACGTGGAGAACATTTTAAGGAACATGAAGGAGGACGAGATCGGTTCCGTGGTCCTCAGCGATCGCTGGCTGCTGCTGCTGGCCAAGACGCTGCGGCTGAAGGACGCGTGTCACATCCGTGCGAGGCTGAGGGCCGCGGCCGAACCCCTGCCGAAGCCGAAGGAGAACTCGCGGGAA